GGCCTGGGAAAAAAGACATTTTTTTCCTTGAATGACATCAGCATTGCCTACAGGGTTAATGGTGCAGTCTGCCTGCAGCATTGGCAGAAGACTACCTGATGGTTTATCCCTTTCCCACATGCCTGAAGAGGAGGAGCTGGTTACAACAAGAGTGAGTGTCCCTTAAGGACAGCAGAAGAAATCCCAATACAGAAGTGCCTGGTTTTCTGCTTCATAGTCTGAAGACCTTACTCAATTAAAACTAATCAGCCCCAAATCAATCCAATATTAAGTTTCAGAAAATTCTAATGACAGCCTGTGATTTCCCATTAGTCCAGAGTTCACTAATCACAATCTCGCTGTTCTGTTCAGCTTTGCAGATGTATTAGTCCCTGCAGAATGGATGCAGTTAAGTGTCTGGGTATCAATACATTTAAGAGGAGCCTTGTTTCTGTCCAAAAGGGCTACACTTTCTCCTCTCCATAATCCTGATTTATTGCAAAAAGTAGACAGGAAAAGAACCAGAACAGTCCTCCACTAATTCCACAACAATTGCTAAGGATAAAGGACTAAGACGTAGATATTTAGGTACCAAAGCATACCATGAAACTCTAACCTTCCACAGGACCAGAGGTGTAATTTGGAATTCTCTTCACCCATCAGGTTGAAGATGTTCATTCCAAAAAGGGATTAGTCCATCTGAACTCGATAAAAATAAAAAATCCTTCCCCCTGCAGAGCATTAACAGCGCGTTAACGGTTGGTTTGTTACGCCCGGCAAAGTGTTTGCTGTCCTTTTCTTCTGCTTGACACAAAGCCCTGCAGAAAGTGAGCAGGAACACAACCAGCATGTCCCTGTCTAATTAAGGGGAGGCCAAAAGAGCCAGGGGAGATGTAGGCAGGAAGCATGCTGGAATGAGCACATGGATACCCCTCTGCAGCCCACCCCCCCACTGCAGCAGGAGGAATTAAGAAGGAATCTGATGCTTGTTTTGATAGAGCCTGCCCAGCTTCATCACTGTTTGCAAGAAAAAAAAAATTACTCTAGAGGTATAAAATCAGGAAAGACTTTTGCATCTGATTTCTGCCTTGCTGTGAGCAGCAATTCAAGGCTGAACAAATAAGCCATCCAAGTTGGTAACTCCTGTACGTAAGAGATGTGCAGCCAAGACTTCTGCACAGGGCTGTGAGAGGACAGGATTACATTGGAACCTCTCTTCATCTACATTTGAAGTGCTGGATTAGGAGGTAGAGTCCTTCCTTCCTGACCTCTGCAGAGTCAACAGACACCACGGCACGGCACGTACAGTCAATCCTACACCTCGCCCAGCCTAACAATCAAAGCTATTCATGCCTGAGCAATTACCTGCTCTAAAACCCAGCCAGAGCAGAAAACCCATGGACTTTCTGGGGCAATGAATTGTCCAGGATGACCATGCATTCAGAATTATCTGTGGTCTCACCCTGCAGCTCAGAAAATCATAGCTTGTTTTCTACTACTTGTCCCACTTCATCTGTTCTGCTATTGCTTTTTGAAAAAGGTCCTTTTTGAGACAGGTACTTATTACTTTTCCCGAATGCAGCCTCATACTATTAATTCTCTGTTTGCCAGCACCAACTGCTCTATCTTAGGTCTTCTTTCTTCTTTTTCACATCCTTTCCCCACACCACACTAATTGGACAAAGGATTCAAAGATGCCACCTTAAACGTCTGCAGTCACCTGTTGTCCTTGAGTGACTCCATTGCTGTACGCACCTCTAACTGCCTGCCTAATCACCTCTCTGCACATGCACAGATGGGCCACTGGAGTCCAGCCTCCGAGCGCTCACTGGAAGTGCCTCAGCTGGAAGAACTGTCTTCTGACACTCAAAGAGAGCTGCACCCCCTGGGTGAACTTGGCAGGTGAAGGAAGAGGAGCACGAGCCTCAACGCTGGAGGAACAAGCGCCTGGAATCAAACGCACCGAAAAGGGCATAAATTGGAACTGGAAGTTACACTTGTGCCTGCCAGCACTTGGGGAACAGCTATTCCCATTTAGCCTTCTGATCAGTTAGAGTGAGATGGAAGTGCTGCCCAGGGATTTTATCCTACCACGGGGAATAAGCACAGTTCAGCCTTTGATATTTGTTTTCCGACAGACTCTCCTCCTGAAGCGAAACAGCCCCAAACAGTGCAGAGGCCGAGGCTGTAACGAGCGATAGCACAGCGGGGTTTTAGAGAGAGCTGGAGAACGATAAGATCCAATCCCTGGTGTCAGCAAGATAAAGTGGTTTATCTGGGTTTCCACACAGGGGAGAGTTAGCTGCTAGACCCAGCTGAAAGATAGGGGACTGGCAACCAAGGAGATTACAACAAGAGATAAGACTCGCCGGGTTTTCTGTTTACAAAGCCAGCTGTGCTGGGGTTGAATGCACTCCCCAGGAAAAACAGTTATTCAAAACAAAACACAGACCCACTAACCTGAAAGAGGGGAGGGAGAATCCAGCTGTTGGACAAGCTGTGGGAGAGGCAGCTCAACCTTGTCCTCCTCTGGCCCCCACCTGCTCTTCCGCTTCTTTTTAGTAGTGCCCGGAGCAGCGGCTGTAGTTGCTGTTGCAGCAGTAGTTGTAGCTGTCTGGTCAGGTGGAGTTGTGGAGGATGATGGTGAAGGTGAGGGCAAGGATGAGGGCATGGGCACAGGTGAGGGAACAGGCAAGGGCAAAGGTGAGGGAATGGGCAAGGGCAAGGGCAAAGGGGAGGGTGAAGGAATGGGCAAGGGCAAAGGCGAGGGAACAGGCAAAGGTAAAGGTGAGGGAACGGGCAAGGGCAGGGGCAAAGGCAAAGGGGAGGGCAAGGGCAGGGGCAAGGACGGTAAGCACAAAGGTGACGGCGATGCCTCGGGACTGGTCTTCCTTTTCAGACTGGACTCGACAGGCCCGGGGGCACCCGCAGTGCTGGTTTTGGCCTTACGGAACTCCTCCAGTTTCTGCCGGTAATACTTGTAGCCTTTGCTGTTTGGCTCGTATAAAAACCTACACAGGGAAAAACAAAAAAAAAAAAAAGAAAGTTCAGATGTGTCATATGCAGGGAGGGGATATTGCTCAGTTTGGTGAGGGCTTTTCTCTTCCTGCAACGACTTCCCACACACTTCCTTGCTCTCCAGCACCATCCTGTGTGTACGTGCACGCAGTGCAGGGCTCCGCGGGCTCTGCCAAGGCAGGCTGCAAGCCTTTGGGATCAGGAAGCGAATCTCCCATCCAGGAGCAAAGCACAGCTGGTTTTGGTGCCAAATAAATGCACAGTACTAAAAAGCATCATGTTACATTGGTGGAAACGCAGGTTTCTCCCCCCTAGAATTCACCTGGCTTCCAGAAGACGTCTGGAAAACCTGCAAGGGCTCCACACGATGCCGCGTTTCAGTTCACAGAAGAAAACAAATGGGAATGCCAAACCACTGCCTAAAGAAACTGCTCCCAAGCTCTCTATTCAAGCTGCTTAATTACACCTTCTGTTCCCTCATCCACAAAAAAACAGTGCTTGATTTGCTACCCCTTCCAGAAATAGGCATCTCTGACCTTTTGGGTAAAATAAAACTCTTTAGTGTCTGTGGGAAGAACATGAACGATCCTCAATCTAGCAGCTACACCAAAAAAAAAAAAATCAACAGTCATGTTTGTTACAAACACATTACATTTTTGGGCTCGCTCCAGTTTAAATACTCCACACAGAGACCTGTCTATTCCTAACTCCTCTACAATCTTCCCTTTTTAGTGGATTAGTTTAAGACTTGATGTAATCTCTCCTCAGGATAGTGCCTGGTCCCACAAGAAAACCTAAGAGACAACCTCTCTTCGCTGCACAACACACACAGGCAAACACAAACAGCTCTCTAACATATTTTAAAATTCACTAAGTGTTGTCTTGCATCTCTCCACTCGAATAAGAGCATTAAGCATTGCTTCAGGACGTCGCAGAGGGCAGGACAAGATCCTCTCTGTGGCAAACCTGATGAAATCCTAACAGAGGAGACAGTGTTTAACTTGACCGCGGCTCAGGTGAGTTCAGAGTTGTTTTAAAGGAAATAATGAACAGCTCAGATATTAGCAGATCTGTCTAATATAATCCACAACACAAGAGGAACACCCCAGAGGGCCAGAAGGCAGCCAATAAACCACCAAAATATCAGCAACAAAATACATCTCGCCAAGCCCCACTCCGTTTTCAGGGAACGCACCAAATCGTTTGTAAAAGCACAAAAATGAAACACGGATGAGACCAAAGGGAGGCTTTAAACAGCTGTCAGTGAGCACTGAAGAGAACAACTCACATCTGAGAGGCTGGAAAAGATATTCCAAAGGGGGACCTAATGCAGTGCTACCTGTACGTTAGTGACGACGCTGCGGAAAGAGTAACCCAGGAAATTAACTGGAGAGCGGCGGTATGAGCGCTGGAGGAGGGCCCCCACCCAAACACGGCTCCGGGGAAAAGCATAAGGGTCAGAATTATACCAGTGGGTTGCAACAGGAAGCAGGTGAGGAGGGGTGGAAGTCATAAATAAATTTCGGAGGAGGCAAATTCCTTGCTCTGCGCCTTGCTTAAATCCTGGAGCTTGAGAATGTAACGTACGTTGCTGTAAGTGCACTGTCCTTGTCGCTTCAGACTTACCACAGCACTGACTATTATTCCCCCTTTAAAAAAACAAACCCCCCCACACCCCCCCCTTCCCAGTACACTGAGCAGCAGGTTTCTTCTGTTACCTGAAAGCATGGTTCTCTCGGTTGTTCTGCAAGGCAATAGCTTCCACCTCGGGACCCCCGTCTGCTATGAACCTGGCCAGTTTCTCAGCAGAGTTCTTTGTCTCTTCGTCGTCTGGGGGTGAAACTTTAAGCAGGCTGTCAGTACTGGGCCCAACTCACACAAGCAACAGTCAAAGCCTATCTGTTCTAAGAACCCCAAGAGCAGAATAAGGGCAAAAGGTCGAGTTTAATTTTTAGAAACATTACACATAAACAGTCATAGAGTTTATATCACAAAAACATGGTATTGCATGAGGTTGTACAACAACTCTGTAACCAGAGGAGTGCCCATTCACACATCAGCTTCCCCTGTGCCAGGAGCCAGATGGGAGCAGATTAACAGACAAACCAGCTTTTGTCTCCAAGGACGGACCCTTGTTTCTCTCTACTGCAGAGGAAGGCTGCTTCCTCCTGTGTCAGGCGCTTCTCCATAGCGTTACACCTCAGCACTCACAATTATTTTAGTTAAAGACTTTGCCACCGACGTCCCCGGGAGCAACGGGAAGGCCTCAGAAAAAGTGGCAAACAAATATCGCACCGTAAATCCCACTGTACCACTACAGACCTGCTGGCCAGTCTTAGGGACGGGGTGTCGGACAGAGGAAATCCTCCGTGGAACAATCCCAATCCTCACCTGCAAGAGGTGGCTACCACAGCCTTAGCCCAAGGGCACGGAGAAGGCTCTGATCATTAATATTTTAAGCATATTCCATGCTTATAAGGAGCCAGGCAAATAGGTTATTTAGCCACGACAGCCTTATATGACATTTGCTACCTGCACAGTACCAGTGCCAGTACTCCAGCGTGCTGGCACAGGACCAGGAGGCAGAAGACATGATTCTAAGCCATGGACAAGTCAGAACCTTTCCATGCTTCAATATTCCACACCTGTAAAGTACGGACAATACTGCTTAGCTTCCAAACTGCTGGATCAGTTAGCTGGTATCGGTGACAAGCTCTTTCAGCCTACAGCCTATTACACCACGATTTGTTCGAGCTGGTGACAGCTGAATTGCACTAAGACTCCTTTTCCACGGCAAAGGAAGCTGACATGGAGAGGCTGGGTGATTCTCCAGGGCCACACAGGCGGCCTGAAGCAGAGGCTGGACTAGAAACAATAAATGCCTGGCCCACAGACCACGCTTCGCCCACTAAATAATTTGTTTCAACACAATTAACCAGATTCTGCTGCCCACACAGTCTGTCTGTTGACAGATCATCCACTTCTGCTGTTCTCCTACCTGAAAACACAGTCTCTTACTTGCAAGGATTTATATTCCAAGCAGAAAATAACAGCTTCAGATAAGGAAACGGCAGCAGAAACGGGGATTACGTTCGACAAACAAACCAGCCAATAATTTTAATTTATAACAAATCAAACAACACCTGAGAAAAAACACTTTTGCTAAATGCACTTTCAGGGCTGAAACGCTTTCCCGAACACACAAATCGGAGAATCGTTTTAGTCCGCTTTGTTAAGTATTTTGGAGAAATACAAGGAAAAAACTCTTTCAAGAGCCCGTTGCATAGAGCATGGCACAGCATGCCGTGGGCTTGGGAAGCAACCATTTTGGGCAAAACAGTTTGATCACCATCTCCTTCCATTCTGAAATTTTATTTACAGGTAGCAGATTGACAAATATCTACTCCAGCTGTTTCCAGAACAGACCTAACAAGCAGTTACAGAGAGACGAGTCAAATGGAACTCATGCAATTCATTTCTCCAGATCCCAGCCATAATTACCTTTCTGAGAAGAGGATGCCTGAGAACTTTGATTCTCTTTTCTTATCTCTGCCACTTTCTTTCTGTAGTAAAGGAATTCTCTGCTGTTCTTATCATGCAAAAACCTAGGGCGGAGATGGAGGAAAAAAAGGGGCAAAAAATACACATCAGCAACAGTTATACAAACATTGATAGTCTGGGATAGAAACAGCTCAAAACCAAAAAACACAAGAGATAAATTACTCAGAATGCACTTAAAATGTGGATTACAAAGTCTTGGGCATGCATAAACACACATAGCTTCAATCTAAGGACTTGCATCCAAATTTTTCGTGTCACTTGAAGGCAAATAAATAACAGCCTCTTCTGATATAAGAGGGAATCCTCTGTCCAGAGCCGCACAGTACGTCCATGGCAGAGGAGACAGAACCAGCTCTGAGATGGAGTCCAGCATCCCCCTACGCTGCACAGGCAGCCAGACCTCCCAGGCTGTGTCCCTAACTCCAGCTGATCCACCTCCTCAGCACCATCACAGCACCGCTTTCTGCCTCAGCTTCCCCAGCTACAAGACAATTACTTGTACCAAAGCTCAAACCCACCAAACAGTTAATTAAACTCAACTTGACGAGAACCATACACACGAGGCTGATGTTTTTCTCCCACAGAGAGACAGCGTCCTGCTTTGAGAGACAAGAGTCATCACCACACTTACGAAAACGCTGGGTTATCCTTGTAGTCTTCCATAGCCACCTTCTCTAATTCTGGTCCCCCTTCAGCCACGAACCTAGCCAGCTTTTCCACCACTTGCCGGGTCTCCGCATCCTCTGGGGGTAAAACTTTAAGCAGGCTGTCAGTACTGGGGTTCAACTCACACACCAAACAGGCAACAGGTACATTACTTCTAAGAACCACGGCGGCAGACAAAAGTAGAACGGGAATGGGAAGAAAAAGGATGAAATGGGGGATCCAGTCTTACACAGCTGTACAAATTACAATCCCCAGGTTACTGTCAGCCTCTGCGTCCCCCTAGCAGGCAGTTAATATTTTGTCTAGATTTTCCCTGCAAGGAAAAGTCTAAGGTTTGGATCACCACAGCTTAGGGTGCAACTTCAACTGCACCATAATTTGCTCCTGACAATTCTACTCCACACAGAACACATGATGAGGAGGAACAGGAATTTGGTTTTAACAACCACATTGCTCACTCAAGATTCCAGTTCCCAAGACATCGCTCTGTACCCAGAGAGCAGAGACAGATTGTGTTCCTGGAGCATGTACCTCTTCCCACTGGCATATGCCCATGTCTCAGCCCTCGCTTGGAGGGAATCCCACCAGAGACAAGAGGAGAGCTCAGTCTCCAAGAAACTGTATTTTGGTTTCTGTGCCATGAAAGGAACCCGCTGACAGCACTTACGGAGCTGCTGCAGGACACGTTTAATGAGAACTAAACCCAGGCATTTGTCTACACACAATATTTTGGGTACGGTGCTGAACAAAGAGCACTCAGGAGCAGAGCTGTCCACACTGATCTAGATTCAAACCCACGACCTTTAAATTAAGGGTCCACACTCTGTCCTTGCCCTCTGCAGCCAGTGGGTATTTCTCACATTCCTGCAGTGCGTTTCGCCCTTCAGCTCAGGCTGGCTAAGATTGTGCTTTCATAAATCCCACCAGAAACAGCCAGAGATGGTTTTGTAAACACATAATGGAATAAGTTATGACACAAAGCTCAGCGTGACTTACTTCGCAACTCCCATCTCATTTTATACTCCATTAATACGCACGCGTGAAATTCAGATTATTAAGCAAATCTGCCTTCTGGCTTCCTAGCCTAGGTTATCCAGAGAAACTTGGTTATTTAAGCACTGTAATGTTCTTCATTGGTTTTCTATCCTACCTAAAGCAGTCCAGACCTAGAGGGGAGATTCTCTAATGAAACTTTGCAAAGAGACAGGAACTGGTCAGAGTTCCGTGCATTACACATCATCTTATTAACACAATTTTCCCCCTTCACAGCTGCTCCTAAACTGAGGGCTTTTCATTTTCTATCATTTAAAAAACTAAAATTCCATTTTAAATACAAGCGTTATACCTACATGCATTCTAGGGAACTCAGCACCAGCCGTAACAGACTGCAATTGTACAAAAGCAGAATTCTTACAATTAGCAAACAATCACGCTCCATGAAGAGCGGAATGTATTTCTTCTCTGCAGATTATTTTCCACAGAGATTTACAGGCTGGTCAAGTGCTTGGCTTGGTAACTCGGAGAAAACAGATCTCCCCAGGCACAAAACAGACCCTGGTGAGTGACTCATCAGGCTGGGTAATATCTAACAGGATTCAGTCTTCAGCTTTTCTGCTGAAGCTGGCTTTGGAGGAGTCCACCAGTGTTAACCGGTGTCATTTATGTTTCGTGATGCAGAAGTCTGCACACAAGAACTGTGTTAAGAATTCCAATTCACAGAGTAAGGGAAAAAAAAAAACAACCCAACCCTTCACTGAGAAAAAGTATTGAGAGAACTCTGTTCCCACACTCAGCTCTCATCACTAGGGTAAGCAGACCTGCGCCCCAAAACAAACAACGTAGTACAAGGAGCCATTTACCTTTGATTTCCAACCACTGCTCATAGTCTTCCTCCTCATCTTCATCTGGCGACTGAAACACACTGAGGCGGTTAACGACCGGGGTCTGTTTGGAATGGGAGTAGTGCTTCGCTTGGTGCAGCATGCTGCTCAGGACCTGACCCGGGCGCTTCCCGAACAGCATAGGCTTCTTCCCAGCATTTGGCGCAGAAGCGTTTGCCGAGTTATTAGTAGAACCTGGGGGAGGTTCTTAGAAAAGAACGAGGGGAAAATAATTCCTGTGCATCCTTACTGTTTTCATCTCAGTTACAAACAACAACTCAGGCAGTGAGACAGCTGCAACAGGCCCTTATTTTCAGAGTAAGTTAAAGACACTGACTGGTAAAAGCTGCAAAAGGGAAGTTGTGATGGTTTTTACAGCGTGAGGTTCAAGCTAGAAGAGAGATGCTTGTCTTTACAGCACCTAGAGGGAGAAAGAGGGCAAGCCTCCCTACCGCATCTGGGAGAAAGATTTTTAACCCAAATTTAAAAGTCATCATCGCTTTAGAACTTACTCGTACTGGTAACAGCTCATAGCTGGGTTTCTAAACGAGCATACACAGAGACAGCTCACGCAAAGCGGGTACCACCAGGAGAAGGAAGGCCTCCTGCTGCTCAGAAGTCGACCTACCCGTGCTTGACTTTTCCTTCTGCAGCTTGAGAAACTGCTGGAGGAAACTGCCATCATTAACAAACTTGTTGGAAACGCAGGCTTCACTGTCAGCTCCGTCATCTCTGAACAGGAAAAAAAAAAAACAAGTCGGTGATGGCACTCATCATCCTCCCCACCTCCCCTCGTGCATTTTGAGCAGAGCACAAGACAAATGCCAAAAACCAGTCATCTCTCTCACCTAATGCTGCAAACACACCTAGCTTTCCCAAAGCACCAGGACCTTTCAGCCTGCTGCTCACAGCGCTGACCCACGCTCTCCACCTGGCTTGTTTACTACTCTGCTGAAACAGTATTTCTGCTTTGTTGCACTACTTCCAAGAACCAGCATTTAACTGGAGAACTGTGCTAACTCTTAGGAGTCGCGATCATAAGAAGGATAACAAAGAGGAAGCAGAATTAAAGTGTAATAACACCCTGTTAAAAACACGATTGCTGTCAGCACGTATCTGCTCTCACTGGCTTCTGAAAAATCTGGCTACACCAATTACAGTGTGAGCATCCTGTTCTAACCTTTACTCAGTTACCAATTCCAGCTTTCTCAGTGTTTCCCTCCAAGCACAAGAGCTCTGCAGAACTCTTCCTTTGGGTTCCATTCTTCCCTCCAAGCACAACAGCTCTGCAGAGCTCATCCCTTGGGTTCCATTTATCCCTCCAAGCACAAGGACTTTGCAGAGCTCTTCCTTTGGGTTCTACTCATCCCTCCAAGCACAAGAGCTCTGCCTTTGGGTTCCATTCTTCCCTCCAAGCACAAGGGCTTTGCAGAGCTCTTCCCTGGGGTTCCATTCCACAAACACGCCCGTTTCCCGCCCGCGCAGCTCCCGCCTAACAGCCCCGCGACCCGCACGTACTCCCCGAGCAGAGGCAGCTGCTGGATGCCCAGGTAGTTCTGCTTCGCCTGCTGCTCCAGCTTCTTCTGCGCGATCAGCTCCTCCTGGTGAAGGATGTTCACGTTCGTCTTGGCCGACTTGGACTGCGCGACCCCGAACCACCGGCTCGCCTTCCCTGCGGGACAAGGAGGGGGGAAATGAGCGCTGCGGCGCTCGGGGCCCCCCCCACGCCACC